TTTGAGCGTTTTGGATGTTGGAATCAGGGTGAAACGGAGTTAAGATGGTGCCTCAAACACGTAGGCCTCCTGAATTAAGCATTCGGACGATTCGACCCCTCAAGATGTCAACAGCTTTTTGGCTCACCCATACTTTCGCGTGTGAAGTACCCACAAATCTGGCAGCCATGGCTGCGGAGAGATCTCAACGCCTTGTATACACCCCAACGATGAGCAACTAAGAATGTCAAAGGTTTGTGACATTTGCCGTATGATCGAAGGCTTCGAGTGCTTGGAGTCTATAGTGAACAATATTTTATTTTTAATTATCAGAGTTTGGTATATCCCAGCCACACGTGCCTTCTTTTCCTATAACGCAGTCGCAGCTGTAGTCTGAGAGGCCACCATCTCAAGCTGGCAGAGCAATACAGTCGTTTTGGAATGCGGTCAGAGTCTTTTTATGTACGCGTTTGAAAAGCGTAAAATGCCATGCCGATATCTGTCATCTATGTATTCAAAGCTCGAATTCACCGTGCATATGACACATATGACTCATTGCCTATGCCACGAGTGTCTGATAGAGAGTTCACTTTCAGTCAACTCACAGAATACATTCCAACTTTGCACTTCTTGTATCTGTTCACAAAGAGACCGTCCAATTTTCACTACCGTCCCATTGGTCATCATTTCTTCTGATCAGATGGTGCATTAATATTTTATATTAAGAATACTACGATGAATACACTGGGGTGAATCTGATTCTGCCGACATTTGCTATATTTTGAATTTTCACCGTGGCCTTCACACAGGCCCGGCTAAGCTTTAGCTATTCACCCGTATAAAGCATTGTCCCATTGTTCTATCTCAAAGCAATGTCACCATTTGAAATGCACCAAAATAAGCTCAATACTTTACATCAGCCATTCTAAACGGAGCCATACGGCCCGCTAGGTGCCATAGAGAAGATCCAGGGGTCCTGGGATGATAAGACGTTTAGTGTGGGCCATGAAGGGAAAAGTCTGTTATAATTATCCAAATAAAAAATTTATTAAGTAAGGTTTTCTGATAAGTTTTCTCCGCGCACTAATCTCCCGTGGTCACTACCGGTCAGGGAACTGAATTGCGCGTGCGCAAGTGGCAGTTTACCAAGTTGTGAAAGCCAGATCGGGTAGACTTCCTGCTGCGCAGTTAGCGGTGCTACGAGGAACTTGCGCCTATTCGCCGGCCTCACCTCAGACACACAATCCCCATACGCCGACACAGTCTGTACAAGTAACACCCCCAAGAATTTGACACCTAGCCACTGCGAACCCACTGAACTCTCCTCAGCAAATGGCAGCATTTATCGCGCTAAGCAACGCTGATACTAACTGGGTTTTCCTCAGGTCACGACCAACGGGGACAGCTCTAGTGTAGGTCAGTCCTTCATTCTTGTTGGGTCTCAGTGACGTAGAGCTTGGTTACGAGCTCGCGTGCACCTCCTGCGGCCAGGTCACATTGCTTCGCAGCGTTCGGGATTAGAGTGCCTATTCTGCGCGCGTGGAGGGGGACTATCTATAAAGAATGTTCATCTGTTCTGAATTAGAGTCGATAAGAGTAGAAAGCGTTATTACGATTTCCTATTATGCAGTTCAGCTGAATTATTCAACTTGAAGATTTGCGTATGGACACCTGGTTTCTGTGGCGAGTATTTATAACAAAATATGTACATGAGGATACTTCTCATGACATGCTTAATAATGAAATGCTTTGTCAGCACGCATTTGACTCCATGTTTGACCACATCGGATGTGCGTTAATAGTTGCTTGAACTATCCGGAATCTTCTTACTGTCCTTCATTTTGTCTGTTGTCACTGGTTGGTTTAATTTTCTTGCAGTGAATATGTGTCCACCAAGCATTGTGCTTTTCTGATTTCTAAGTGTTTTCTTTTTCCATTGGTTTTCGTCAAGAAGATTTCTTCAGTCCCTGTAGCAACCCACGGTCATTCAAAAATCATCCTCCGAAACCACCTTTGGGTTGCTTCTAATGCTGCTGTTCTAATGCTGCTTCTAATGCTGTCGGACCTGATGAGCAGAAATCCTGAAGAAGCCATTAAAAGCATTCCGCTCAGCAACTCAAGTGTATCCAGGCGAATAGATGAGATGTCACACGACAGTAAGTACCGTAGGGAGTTAAATGCAGAGCGAAAATTTTCAATGCTTGTAGATGAATCTATTTTACCTGACAACAACGTTCTTACGGTGGTCTATGTCCATTCTTCAATAATAATGAACTAGGAGACATGCTGTTTACCAGGAGAAATAAAATTCATACAATGGATCACTCTATATTCGAGGAAGTCATTGGCTATCCGACGGAAAACACCACCACAATACAGAACATAGTTTCAGATGCAGCAGATGGTGCTGCCGCAATGGTCGGAGGATATAAAGGATTCACTGCCTATCTAAAAATGTTTTCCTCATATTCATACCATTCACCGCGTGCTTCACTGAGAGCACCTAGTGGTTAAAACTTGGGAGGGTACTTAAACAATTCACTGTCAAGTGTTATAATAGTAACCAGCAATATCAAACCGCCCCCCCTTCTAGACCGTCTTTCCCAACAGTTCTGCGAGGAAAACAGTGAAGAGTTCCAGAGTCCACTATTGCATAGAGAGGTTAAATGGCTCTCCAAGGGCAACAGGCATCGCCGTTTTGTTGTACTCTGGGACAACATCGTCACAATACTTTTTGGAACTGATTATGAACGAAAACTGTTAACAGCTAAGCCAGACGTGCTTTATCTGGCCCTTTGAAAAACTCAACTTTCCAAGGCAAGTTGAGCAATCTGCTCTCTACCAAAGCAGCTATTACCGTCTTTCTTAAAAAGCTGGAAATGTATGCCTAAAACAAAGGACGTCTGAAATTTTCACTGTTCCCAATTCTCGCTCGAACCAAGGAGGATATGAAGGATAAATACTTGATAAGCTATGTCAGTCATTTACAATAATCCCAAAAGAAATGAATACGTGTTCCATGACTTGCTTGACATGGAAATCACGATTGGGATTTTATATGCATTTGAGGTACAACCCTGCGTTGTTAAAGAGAATTCTTATAGAGCTTCAAAGTGACACACTAGAAAGATCCAGCCTCAGGTAATATAAAATAGATTTCTGGATAAAGACTGATGCCCTTAGCAGATTTCCCATAAAGTGGGAAATAGCTTAGATATATGTCTTTGCATTTTCATCAACATACTCGGTTTCATGTGGATTTGGCACATTGGTTTTTCCAACAAAAGGTAAAAACAAGTTGAGATATTCGATCCTAGCTGTCAAGTCTGAAGCTGGACATTAGGAAGTTTGCTCAAAGACGTCAGATTCAATTTTGTATTTATTGTTCTACAAAAGTATTCTTAAGAAATTACTATACCTTAATTCATCCCAGGCTTTACAGGTAAAAGCTAACAATAGTTAAATATAATGTTACCTATTAATGATGAATTTTGTGTAAGTATAGATATGTGGATTGATTTTGCTGTAAAATAAAGGTAATATTAATGTTACTAAAGTTCAAAAATAGGGTTTACAAGGGAAAGAGTAGAGATATCAGCATTACTAATTCATCCTTGCTAACAGAAGATACTAATACGATATTGAAAACCGCAGATTTACGTCTGGTATTGTGGATAGCTGAAATTGCGGTGCTCAGGGTTAGGAAGGCCATAAGACATGAAAAAGTTTAAAAGCGAGTTGATTAAAGGTCGATAATGCATACTTTAAATTACAATGCCCTTTTACATGCTATAGTTAAAGGTGGAGTGCAAGGGAGCGGCAGGGAGACTAATGAACAGTTTGCGATGGGTATACTCATAGGAGAGCGTCGATTAACAACTCGTCGAAACGCAGAGTGGTTCATGAGGAAATCATTCCGAGTAAATGGAAATGGATAGGTTAAGCGAATTTAGAGAGCGCAGTCCTAAACTGGGAAAGATGTTCATATCTAGCTTAGGAAACATTTGGTCTTGGCTTAGCAACTATTAGTTGGTGAATATGCGGCCTTCTATCTCTGCCCGGAAGAAAAGTATTAAAGTTTGACAAACTGCGTATACTTTATTTGTTGCGTAAATGGTGAGTGAGTTGCTTCTCACTTGCTAAGCGAAAGAACTACTTGATTCAGTCTTTCGACAAAACTCATGGGAAATCGTTTGCACTAGAGTGCTAATTAGTCCCTGGTTCAGGCTGAAGCCGCTGTCAGGGGACTTGATAGCTGGTGTGGCTCAAGGGGCAGAATGACACAATCAGTAGCATTACGTTGAGATCCAGTCTCCTTGTTTGTTCGGACTCTGGCTACTGACTATTCTAATATCATGGACTCTGAATACAGAAATCTTCTCATCCGGGGTATTCGAATTCCTCGTAGAAGTGCGTAACCTATCACCTACCTTGGCTTGCTTACGTTGTGCAATGTGAGCGGATTCCATAAGACAGGCAACAGATGCTTCCGTGAAAATGCGTCCGACACTCATATGTTGAAATACACACAAGTGACAGGCATTGCTTCTGTTTTGTAGCCATTTGAAAGTACGAAACGGTTGCTGAATGGCTGCCACTTGCTTGGGTTTGGATTACCCCCTATAGTTTACTTTCGGCAGTCAACTGGAAGTATAAACGACCAAAGCGTATGTGTATTGCGCAACCCAGAAAACTGAAGGAGTTTGTTATTTTTCTTCAGCTTATAATACGGGAATCGGAATGGAGAGGAATGCAGCCAAACAAAGTGAGGGATGCAATGAAATCCATACAACCTAATGCATAGGGAAAGATTCAATCTATCAGACATGCATACAACTGACATCCATGTTCGTAAAAAAGGATAATGGGACAAAAGTTAAAGGTTGTATAAGAAAGAAGATGGAATGCAATGGGTTTGAATTATCGGTAGATGTTGGTTTCTAAGAAAAATTCAAAAGATTCCACTCGAGAAGAAACCAGAGAGCAAAATAGTGCAACATCTTCTACAGCAATCGATGAGGGTTTCATTCAATCCAAATAGTTCGGTCACAGCGGATATGTTTGAGAATAAATTTTAGTCGCCTCACTTTGAGCATACCATCACAATAGAAGCAACTTCGAGTAGTACCTGTGAAGAAGTGAAAGCGGTTAGAAAACACAAAAGGACGGAATATCAGTAATTCTCTAAGTCCAGTCTAAGGAAAACTCAGATAATGGATAAAAATATGGGAAAAAATACGCGGAGATAAGAAGCGTGTAACGAGATGGTTTATCATCTACAACGGTAGCTGTATTGGCTTCCACCAAAGAGGGCACATCTATCAACTGCTTCAAGTACACTGCTGATTATTCTCATAATCCGATATATTCCGCTTAGAAAGAAGTCATTAACTTGGCTTTTCCATATTTTTTCTTGTGAAAAACTCTACGTGTAACATCCTCGAATGTCTCAATAACAAACATCCAGGAAAAAATACGCATGGTATGATATCTCTCACCGAATATGTGATTTCTGCACCCACACTGGCCATATGTAACAGACAGTTGTAAGAGGTGTACACATCAACGTTGTTTTTATTAGTTAACACAATCATTTCATTCTACTCCTGGAATTGGCCTTGGATCTACCGGCTGGAACTTGTTACCAAAGTAAAACCTCGCCGGGCCACCTAATGTGACTTGTAAAGCAGGGCGTCATAACCCGGATAAAAGCCTTATTCATTGTCTATTGTATGAAAATTTCCATTTCCAAAGAAGTAGTAAATAATGTATGTTCAAACTATTTGTTACACCAGTAACCTATGTTATAATGTGTTGTCAAATCATTAAACGCAAGGCTTGCCATAACTTAAAGTCAAAATCTGCTATCATTTATAAAGGCCTAGAAGGAAACTATCTGACTGTAAAATAAATACTCTTATGATGTGAAAATATTTGAATTATGGGCTAAGAGACTGCAGTAATTAAATGCGCGCTAGCCTTGGCACCTATCGTAGGTATTGTAGAATCGGTTGTACATCAACACACGAACATCAGTGAAGCTAAAGCAATCATACAAAATATTGTAGAACAATGAGACACTGAGAAGTATAAATACGATCATTCTCTACCATACCTGCAAAGTAATCACACCGATACTCATATAGATCGCCATCATCCCGTACCGATCGATGTAGCCCTTCAGAACTTTCCAACAACCTTGTCTTATGTTGCTGTTGTGCGCGTCGAATGTAGCAGGACAACTGCCCACTGGCTGGTTGCTTTGATCAAATTTGCAGCAAGGTACTGGATACATCAGTGCTGTGGAGGAAATATTTAGAAAACAAATTGCTGTCATAACTGGGGCAGTGTATGTCTCTGTAACACAGTCGCGTGATCGATGCGCGGCTGTACGCTTATTGTAACATCACTTCAAAGTGTGAAACCTCAGGGCACCGACACTAGCAGGCGACCATGTCATGCACACGCAATAATTCTAGAGGCCCATACCATTATGAACAGGTAGAGAAAGTTTTACTTACAATGCGCTGAAGCAACAGATGCGAAGTAGAAATGTCAGTAGTACAGCAGCCCTATTGCAGGCCTATTAAATCAACCTAATGGAGGAGAGCTTGGTTATTGGTAGCAAACGGAGCATACTATGTTTTATCTTCCCTTGCCATGCCTGCCACATCATTGCAGAGTCTAACGCGCAGCTACACTGATCGACATGTCTAGCCTCCAACATTATAAATTGGTCGGAAACTGACCAGCCTCATGATAACTCGACAGTTTCAATGTACATGACTTCTATAGATTTTGTCCTTCTGATGGATCTACACTGAGAACATTAGAACCCGTACCCCAAACCTTACATACAACGTAAATATTGTCGACTCGTGAAATCAGAATTCATGCTTATTCTTGTTTACCTTATTCGTTCCACCTCATAAAACGGTAGGCCAGCAAGATTAACAGAGCTACAATATATTAAAACACACGTCATTAGCAAAATAAATAAACCTAATACCGGTTGCCAGTACTTTTCTAAAATCTAAAAATGGATTCAAAGCTAATCAAAGACCTATGCTGATGAACAAACAGGACGCGGTAGCTGGAGTGAATCGCAATGAATACTGTACAGCAAACATGAGGGAACTTATAATGAATGAGTAGAGAGAAACAATAAACCTAATGGAAGCAGCACAGCCCGGTTAGTACCGGTGGTGTAGAGCTGAAACAATCAGTACTTGGCGTCTAATTGGATGATTGCTAGAAATACGATACAACCAAAAGCGATAACTTAATGTGTATTCGCTTATTTTGTTACGACTACAAAGCAGCTTGAGAGCTCCAAACCCCACTGAAGCTTACCTTCAATTACCACGATTGGTTCAACCCAACAAGTATTGGATAAATACCAGCGTCAATCCACAATTCTACAGTGTACGCTAGGCTACTTTCTGAAAACTACTATTATACACATAGTATTCGACTTTAGAAATGAGCAAAAGACAACTAGAATGATTAACGCAGTAGTAAAATCAGAGTTGCGAAAAAGCAGACATGAGTCCATAACAGTGTCTAGTTGCTACCGTTAAACAATGGAGGGAAATCTTTATAGTCCAAATACCCATCGTATATATTGCCACCGTACGTCCTCACGCCATCCGTACATTTTATTTGGAACACGCATAGTGACGGGATTCGAGTCAATCTCCTACTATCTCTATCTGGAAAGAGCAAGCAAGGAATCTGTCGAGGAACTTATGCTTCCTGGGGGTGTTTGACCCACGAACTGTAATGCTTCAAAAGAACCCAATGGTCAGCAAGATATATGGATACACTGAATGACTTATGACAAACGTATTTGCTTTACAACTCACTGTAGCTAGTGTTATCGTAAACTTGATTTCGCTCAAACTTCGTAGAGTTTTTAAAGTCGCCGCTATCGTTGGAACCGCAACATTGGAGCTGCCATTGTGAAAATATAAAAGTATTTAGCTAGAAGATTATTCTTACAGTAAACTAGTTAAATACTGGAAAATAAACCACACTAGGTAATAGGATAACCAATAACTTAAGTCTGCCGGACCATTGCGCTTATTTTACTGACCTAAATCATAATGAGACAGTGTGAAATTCTTGGGACCAATGAGGTTTAATCCCCAAAAGGTACGCATTATCCATGAACAGTGTATAAAAATTCGGTGGATTGCACGGATATGGTGGGCCGCCGCGCGAAAAGGAAATGGTTGGTTTAACGTCTTATCATTTTGAAGACAAACCTGTTCATATTTATAAGGCACTTTTAACCCATGCATGACCGTGGATACTAAACGAAACAGGATAGTAGGAAAACCCTGGTTTTCCTTTATTAATCATATGAGGTTTGGATAATATCGACCACTGAAAATTCACACATATGGGACGCATTAAATGAACAGCTTTGAGGACCTATCATTCACGGCTGCTATCCAAAGCAAAATCATTTATCTAGTAGTAACAGCCTTCAGACCGTTTAGCCAGAGTCTACAAAGTAGATCCTCAAACAAATTGTACAGTTGCATTGTAGAGTATGGGATGCATCACCCGCTAACACGTTAAGTACTATAAACAAATGCCCTTGACGCTAAACCAAGCATTTCGAATAGCAGCTCTTGTCTCAGATCAAATCTACTTAACACCCGCATTTAACTGATCCAATACAGGAACGACTAAGCATATTGATGGTCCCTCTGTCATATATATATATATATATATATATATATATATATATATCAACTGCGGCATCCGGTTTCGTATTTGCCTTTCACTGTGGCCAGCCACAGGACGCCTGCGCCTACAGAGGGACCATGGATGGCTTGCGCTGCACCACCCACAGCTCCAGAAACACACACCCCATATCCAGGGTAAACCCGAAGGAATAAGACCGGCAGGCATGTGGATGGGAGCCACATTTCATCAACGGAGCCGGCCCACACTCCTTCACACACAAACACAAACACGCTGTATTTGGGAATCAAGCGCACACAAGGCGGTGGCTGGACCGTAGTCCGCTCCACACTGAGTGCATGGAACCACTCTTTGATCCTAACACGGCCACAAGGACCGTGCACTCCGTCCCCTCCAGCAACGATAAACTGTCTCCTGGAACCCGTATGAACGAGGTAGTGGGTAAAAGACAGGTAGGCACCTTGTCAACATACACATCAAGCGCAGCCACAACGGGGATATCAAGCAACAGCCAATCACTTGAGAGAAAGCTAACAAAGAAAACAAATCTAGTAATGCATAAGGAAAAGTGACAAATCTTAAATTAATGAGCACATGAAACAGGTTGTTTATAAAGGATCCGAGATAAGTTCACGAGGTCAGAAAGCATATTTTATGGAAATGACACCAACAAAATAATGTTATCGAAATTAATTATAATTCGCTTAAGCGACCTGTGCAAGTTTATAGAAGAGCGTACAGGCGGAGATATAGTTGAGAAAGGAAAGCATTTGGACAAAATTGAAAACCCATCACCTGAAATAAAGTGACTTAGCAAGCAAGCACGCGGTTAGTAAATCGAATGCAGCTTACCTACAAACGCTGCGCTGGTTCTGCCTACGTTCTCTGCAGGACCCGTCGTTGCTTCGGTAGTGGTCCGGAGTGGCCTCGCTCATGGATCACTAAGCCTGCTTGACTCAGGCATTCGCGACCGCATGTGCTACAGCACCATGCGCTTGATGTCGATAGAGTACAACCCATCGGTGTTTGCCGCATCCGCACTTGCCGCTTCTTCTCTGAATGCAAGAGGGCTTTCTCCTGCACCTCGGCAGCTGTCTTCGTGATCAGATCGCGTCATGCAGGCCGATCAACCGCTTTCGATTTCCATGATCTGCAATCAGGATTAGAAGGTGTGCGGCTCACTTTAATCATTTCCTGGTAACTTTGATTTTCCCACGCGCCGCTTCCTTATACTCAGCTAACCATATAATACTTGTTTCGGTATCCGCATTGAATCTATACGGCTCACACGACCGATCCACCTAAGGTGTCTCAGCAAAAGCATGCAGTCCACTGCATACATTCCACTCTGTGGCAACACTTCCGTGTCTGCAACTGTCGCCTCAATCAATGCGCAGAATCCGTCGCAGGTATTGCACACGGAACCGCTCGAGATATCGCACATCCCGATGGTACATCGTTCACGTTTCACTGCCGTATAGAAGAACGGACAGTACCATGGATTTGTACTCTATCAGCTTCGTGAGAATGGTAAGCTGATGGTTGTTCCACACTCGGTACTCAAGCTTCCCGAATACCACCGCTGCCTTCGACACGCGGATAAGAATCTCACTGTGTATCTGCTGATCACTCAACATCACACTCACAAGGTAACAGAAGCGAGAGGGGTTTTCCAATACATCATCACTCATGCTGATTTGCAACAACATTGCAGATTGCACCTCCGGTAAAGGCTGAAAGAGACAGACAGTTTTGCTTGTGTTGATAGTGAGCCTGCATTTGGCCGCTGTCGAAACCAGAGCACTAGCCATGTGTTGCGACTCATCTGCGCTGTGTGAAAACAACACACAGTCGTCAGCAATATACGGATAGTGTCTCACAGACTAGAGTTCTCGCACCGAAACGACGGATTTTCAACAATCCACCATCAATACGGTGCTCCACTCGAACACCGTATGCACAAGCGGCATCAAAAGCACAGGACAACATTGCATGAAGATATATAATAAACAGGGCAGGAGCTAAGACACAGCCTTGCTTCACATCAGAGACAACTGTAAAGTCATCCGAGGTCTCTCCACTCAGCTGCACACTCGCTCACATACCACTGTGCATACATTCAAGTAAACTTACAAACTTACGCGGACAACCAAACTTACCCAACACCAGCCACAATGCCTCGCGTTTCACCGTATCAAATGCCTTGGTGAAATCAACAAAAAGCGAGTACAATGGCTGGTGTCGTTCTCTGCACTTCTCCTGCAACTGACGAGCAGCAAACACCATATCCATAGTGTAGCGACCCGAACGGAATCCACATTGCTCTTCCGCCACGTTAGGTTATACAACCTGACTGACAAGGCGGTTGAGCAGCAAGTTGATGCCACGATAATTCGTGCAAAATTGCTTGCGCCCTTTACCCTTGTAAAGTGGTAGCACAAGTGCATCCTTCAGCTCAGGATGCACCTACTCCTCAATCCCTACACGTTGCACCAACTGGTGCAGCGCAGTCAACAACGCATGTCTGCCGTGTTTCAATATTACAGGCGGGATCCGGTCGGCTCTGGCACATTTGCCTTTTCTCAGATGAGCAAGTGCTCTCTGTGTCTCATCCAGTGTCAGCTTGTCCGCCAGACTCGTCTTCACATCGTGCTGCTTCACGCAGTTCAATGTATGCCAGTCGATGTCTGAACGGTTGTTCAAGACACAGCCAGTGTTTTCGCCAAATGCGCATTATGTCTGCAGTCTGTGTGCAGGTAGCGCCTTAACTACCATCGATTAGCGTCCTCAGCAGCTCCAATCTCGGTCCATACACCGCCTTCAACGAGCCAAAGAATTCCTTGTGTTGGCGGTGTTTGGCGTAGCATTCCATCTGCTTCGACTTCTCCGTTCACCATGAATATTTTACGCGACGGAGCTCTCGGGTCAGTGGCCGTCAAAGTTTGCGAAACTGACTCTTCTTCCCCAAGTCACTGGGGTCTGCAACATGTGCAGCAAATGCTGCATTCTTCCCCGACGCCAATGCGCCCATCGTCGCATTGTTCTCATCAAACCAATCAGGCCGCTTACAGTTTGCGCGCCCGATGGTCGCCTCGGCAGCAGCCGTCACCTGGTGGCGAATGTGGTGCCACAGGTCGCCCACTGTGGCTATGCATTGCACATCACACAGGTGTGCAGCCAGCGCCTTCTCCAGCTCAGTAGGTTTCGCCACAGTACCGAGGGAGAGAATGTTAAATTTACGCCGATTCACGGCGGGAGTGCAATACATTGATTTACGAAAATATATGTACAGTTTGGTTTACACTAGTTTGTGATCAGTGCGACACTCAGCTCCAAGCGGCACACGTGTCGTGCGCACTTCACGCATATCACGCTGACGTACGATGACATAGTCGAGCAGGTGAGCATGACCACTCCGTGGGTGCGTCCAAATTGCCATATCACTCGCACTCAGTGCAAACCGAGTGTTCGTGATCATCAGGCCGTGAGTGGCACACAGTGAAAGCATCCTGTCACCGTTCGCATTCGCTGAACCAATGCCATGCGAACCGATAACATCTGCCCACACCGATGCATCACGCCCAACGTGCGGGTTGAAATCACCAAGCAAAAATAGTCGGTCGCTCCTCGGCACGTGCCGTATCACGGAAGATAGCTGAGTGTAGTATTGATCATGCTTGTCATCAGGATAACACATGGTCGGACAGTATGTGTTTATAAAGTGGCAAACTTACCTCTTCCGAGTCATAGGCGAACAGTCATCAGTCGCGCGCTGATGCCTGTTGGTTCACCCACCAACGGACCATGAAAACGATCAGATATGGCAAATCTGACCCAATAATCACTTGGTGCTGAGGCGGCGTTGCCCACACAGTAGAATGTGTAGCCAGCACCTGTTTCATGCAACTTACCTTGCTCAGCGAGCCGGGTTTCACTGAGCGCCGCAATATCGATGTGGTAACGCGCTAGCTCCATCGCGACCATTGCAGTGCGCCGCTCGTGGCGCTCACTGCAGTTCCGGTCCGGTAGTGTCCGCACGTTCCAGCACCCGATGCTGAGTGCTTTGCGCGCAGGCATACGGCTGCATTGGTGGATTATCGCACGCGAGGTGATCGTTGTTGTTCGGAGGTTTGCTTGAGGGACTCCATCCGGAGCATTTGGCTCAATAGTCTGACCCACAAGGCAGTGGGGAGCAGATCCAGCTCGGGAATGTGATTGCAGATACACATTGGGATCTGCTTGACGGCAGTCACACGCAGCCTTGGAGGTACTGGAACGATTCATATATGTTTTGCAACCGTAGTAGGATATGCACCTGCGGCCTCGGTCAGACGTAAGGGGGTTTCTGCGGGTTTGCACCAATTTGACCAGGGGTTGTCTGACTTGAGGCGGGCAGTAGCAAACCATTGAACACCCGGAGATGCCGTCCCACCGTCAGCAACAATGCGTGGCGCTCGTGATCTACACCATTCCTGCTGTGAGCTTATAACTTGTAGACCTGTTATCTCTCACGAATAGGTTTTACGGGAAGAGGGCCATCGACCACTTCCTAACCTCCGAAGAGGATGGACTAGGATACTGGCAGGGCGCACACACCTGACAAAAGAACGACTCGGGTTCTCAGCTAAAGCCTCCGATTAAATGTACACCCGGAATGCAGCGGGTCTAGCACATGGTCAGTTCACTGACTCATGTGGATTGGTGTCCTGGATCTTAGCAGGGAGAAGGGCGAAACCCAACTCCCACCCAGCAGTCGGCACGAGCAGGCATCCAGGAGATGGACCAATGGCGCAATAGTAGCAGCAGTGGGTAGACCATCTGTCAGGATCTAGCCATCACCAGTCTCAGCGCACCGCAGGCTCTCCCGCTATTATATATATATATATATATATATATATATATATATATATATATTTGATTCGGCGGCGTCCGTATCTGGATTTGCCCGTCACTATGACGTCCATGGGGACAGTCACAGGACGCCTGCGCCTACAAAGTGGACCATGGGTGGCTTGCGCTGCACCACCCATAGTTCCACCCACAGACCCCATATCCAGGGTAAACCCGAAGGAATAAGACAGAGAGACATGTGAATGGGAGCTAGTTTTCATCACGGAGCCGGCCCACACTCTTTCAACAAACAGAACGGAAACATGCCGACATAACATACATATATATAAACATATATATATATATATATATATATAATGTTGTTTAAGTGGGCGGTGAAATACAACGCCCCATGATACTTCGCTGGTCATTAAGCTAAAGTAACAATGGATTTCGCTCAAAACGAACACAATCCATGTTGGTGTACATTGACAGCTATGCAGTGATGAGGTAATATAAAAATGATTCTAGCGCAGGCCATCCCGATAAGTATACGAAAGCTGTTAGAAACGCACAGATCATCTGACTTACCGCAAACATAAGAGCTTTCATGACCATGCTATCTGTATCAGTGGAATTGACAGAGACGTAATTTGCTGTCATGATGTCAATGGTCCCCTTCAACGGGTCCGTCAACTGCACAAAACAAGTGAGAATGCATCGAATAAGAACGAGTAGAAAAATCTGATCAAGTTCCACGGTTAATTCGGAGCACTACTTGTAACAACATTCGTTCACCAAAATAAAGCTGCGTGTAAAAGATGATGGCTTTGGGTAATTAATTTAGTTTGAACTAGCCCGTAGTGTTCGCCTGTATTTAGTACATCGGTGTAAGCTTCTTAGTTGGAAACCTTTATAAAATAATATCGTGCCAACTGTGTTCCCTTGACGTTTGGCCGCTGGGCTACCCGGTATGCGAAACTGTAACTTACTAGCAAATCATGCTGATATAGAGGTAATTGCTTTCGGGTCATGTATTGGCCCACATTTTGGGTATATATGTAACATTCGAATACGAAGGCGTTACGCGAAGCTGTACTTGGAGGGCACATGGACTGACTAACATTATTGAAATACGAGACGCCATGTGCCACACCTACGGAACATACAATCGACACTTTGCATTTGTTTACTAAGCCCTCGGTGAGTCAGCATTATGCTAAGAAACTGTTATTTCGTTAACTTCTAACGACTCTATCTTCAACCTACGTATAGTACAGCATGCAATAGTCAGTATGTTTGCATAGACTATACTGTTTCTAGGTACTGTAGAGACAGCGAAATAAATTGGTACAATTGACCTAATTGTATTAGTATGTCAGGCACACGCACTTGTCGGTTGTGTTTTCTCGCTCACTCTATGGCATATATGGAGAACTGTGACCGAACAGACGCACTTGACCCCAAGGAAGATATTTTACGGTGAGAATTGGTCGATAGTAAATAAGAGAGGTACAGTTTCACGGTTAGCCGGCGCAGGCACTCACAAAACAGTGTAACGGGATGATAGAATGATGAGTTCGAAAGTTGTTCTAATGAATCTATTGAGTGTAGATACGAGAGTAGGTTTGGGTTGGATGTTCCGACCCGATGTCTATTTGCCTTTTCGGATTCAGGCTGGAGTTACACTTTAAATGAAAGAGCATCAGGAGCATGTGTGGCAAATGGTTATCAAGGATACACAACACGAAACGTGCACAAATATATACCCGACTGCGACTGTACAATCTTGAAAAAATACATACAAAAAAATAAATTACCACTTCAATTTAGTATTTTGCTGGTGCTTTGAATATAAATGCGCATAACTCCGACTTAGGCATGCTCAAAATAGCAGGTTAATATTATAATGTATTAGTTCAGTCTGTAGTCGTCAATAACTGCTTAGAATTTAGAGGCAGTATGATGGTTCTAGCCGCGGTATGAGAGAAATATTTGCAATCGTCTCCAATGTTATTTTACGTCAATTCCTACAAATTTGTGTTAGAGTTTAAACTCGGCAGTACTGAATTTAGTAGGCAGTAACTGAGCTGAGTTACAATTGCGCTCAGCTCGAATGTGCTCCCAAGCATTATCCTAACTAGAATTAAGTAGCAAACTTTGTGTACAGGAATGTTTGCGGCATAAAATGAAGTCGGAAACGCATTCGTTTTAAGGATAATGAAACGCGACAAACAAGTCAATGCTGCCATGTGAATGTGTTGCAACCTACGCGGTATGTATTTATTTAATTTTACTTGGGCAAAAATGGATGGTTGAGTTATCCGAAACCAATGCATGCATGTACTGATAGTTTGAATAAGAGGAATGCCAATGGGAATAATGGGAAAGTCAGGAATCTAGGTTACTTACTATACTCGGCTTGACGGCGTAGATAATGACGACGATGATTTCAGCGATTAGCAGAATTCCATGCAGTATTGTATACTGTAGAAGCATAGAGACGTAATTTATTCAAAAAAGGACGAAATAAGTGAAAAGTAGACATATTAAATGAGGCTCAGGCATAGCTTGTCATTTGAATTTTCCTTTTTAATACGCGCGTCTCCAGTCAGCCGAATGCAATCAGGTGGTTGGGCCAAAGCAAGCGTCTAGAATCACTGGCTTAGGTTATCGTTTGTACAATCCGGTATTTAACCAAAAATTTGAATTTTCCTTTAGTGGTATTTATTCTACAACACCAAATTTATAGACTAACCCAACGCCGGTACAGCCGGAACTGGAAGTACTATCTATGCAGTAAAACCACTGCTACTATGCGGATTCACATGCATCAATTGCATGTGTGGGCTGGCTGCAAATGGCTTCTTGAGTTCACAAATTTAATAGTAACTACTGAGATCTTCGTTCGGACGTGTAAACGTATACCTTAAATGTTAAACCTCACAAGGGTACATTTAAATGTGCAAAACAATAGAAATCCCCAAGTGTCCGGAACCCTATCGCATCAGCCCGACGTTTGTTAAAAATATTTAATTGCCTTTTCGGGTTGTCTGAAGCAAAACAAGTCATTCTGATTCTGTACGCTTAGATCACGTTAGACAGCTCAATGCGGCACATTCTTTATCAACCTGTAGGAGTAGATGCTGTGATGCCATATGGACATTACTTTGCGTTTGCTCATGGTGGCTTGAAGTACGTTTAGTGTTACCTACTGACCTACATTATTTAGATCACATTGGAGCAAATGCTGTTCGGTATTCGACTAAATCCTGAGCTAAACGGTAATACCAACAGCCACAAGCAGGAAATTTTAACATTTATTCTGTGCGAGATTATTTATGAATACCGAAACTGCATGACTACACCCAGCTCGTTCGAGTTGTTTGGTGTCTTAATAAAGAGTTCATGGCTGACCACTAATTGTCATTATAAGAGGAATTTTGTAATCAAGTTCAAGAACACGTAATACTGGGGTTGGAATGATAAGTATGTGAATCTCGACGTAAAATACCTTAGAAAATCCACAGACCACAGGAAGTTTATCTTCGTTGTCGTGTGTTCGGTTCAAGTAAATAGTGCTGTTTGTAAATTTGTGGCACGCGGCTAATGTTGAAGGAAGCCGTGCTACTCGGGGCAATAATATGTAGGTTTTCCAGAAATAATTCACGCATCAGTACTGATGCATTCCATGACTTTATGTAGCACCGATGAGGATTTGGGGATAGCTTGAAAGTTAAATTTATTTCCCCTTTGTGGGAAAACTGATTACTCGATAATTCCAATCCGTAGAAACGTGGTTCTAAGCCAAGCACCGTTGAAGGAAGTAATCCAATGGTTCCACCAGTTTCCTTGCACCTTCTCCTTATTTGTGTTCTGATTGCATCCACTCCACGAAAAGCTTGGTTGCACAGATATTTTAGCATCCGCAACACAGCGTCAGTGGTAATAGACTGATAGCTGAGTCTCGTCATCCTGGCAAAAATTGTTGGAAATTGCTTGATGATAGGATCCCCTGAGATGCGGTGATCAGTATACTCTTCAGTGCCATTGACTTTGCTTTAGCCGTTCTTGTCGCGCCATCTGTTATCCGGAGCGAAGAAAACCTCGTCTTTCTCTCTTCAAAATCAATGCTGTGTTTCTCCAGTAGTATATAATTAGCATTGATTTTTAGCATATTCCGTTAATGCGCCACCTCGTCTCCACTTAGCATTTGAGCATAGTTGGTATACGGAGTAAAATGTCCCAACTATCTATTATTGGAGACAATCTATACACTTGACATGCTGCATCGCTACATATCTTTGAGCTAAGCAGTTACCCAGCTCAAGAAATGCTTCGCAGATGCCCTATAATATTTACTTAAATAGTTTATTCTAAGTTAACCAGGATTAAATTAAAAATATGTCAAAGTACCGTTGTCACATTTTATTTCAGAGAGAAACATCAGTCAGCAAGCTAAATGATCAAATTTGAGCGTAACTACTCGTTATCCGAATATTTTACAAAAAATGTTTGAGTAGCACTCTCCTTTTTGCCAATTGTCAATGTAGGAATTTACTTCTATCATGCGTTGGCAACACTTTGGTTTTAAACATGTAGAGAGCCATATTCTAGGCCGATGTGTAAAGAAGGAAAGACTATATTGATTGACCCAATAATAGGCGTGAATAATACTAGATTTTCATAATGACAACCACGCTAACACATTTCTGACCACCACTTAATTTATTTTCCGGAACCAGACCACAGTGGCTTTCGGTGTCCATAATCGAAGGTAGATATTAATTGAGTACCATGTTGGATTGACAAGACTGGGATGAGTAAAGTCAGTACCGAGACCATGTGGCTTGTTTTACTGCATTAGGGTTCTCATGTAAGATTCCTTTCTCAACTTTCAGCAAAACCGAGCAAATGGTATATTCATGTTATCACGGCAACCCGTTAGGCATCTAAAGAGCAATTCAACTGAGGGCTGATGTTAAGATTTCCATTTCGATTCGAAACCGGTTCCCTGTAATTGACAGTACCTTGCAGTCGTCCAAAATATTTTGCTGGCAAGCCCTATTGCTGGTGTGTCATAAAATGTAAGTACAGTGCGCCGTTTTCCTAATACATAGTAACTGGCATTTTGCTAGGACCAATTTTGCTCCGAGGAGCCAAAGCAAGCACCATGGTTAATGAAAAGAGTAGAGGGAGTGAATATTCCAAGCAGATCGGCAACTGTGTACCGAGGCCACATTTGCTTCACTGACACAAAGTAAAAGCCGGTTAATGTCCACTACACGAAAATATATTCAGAAGCCGCTCACCGCTACATTCAGGGGCAATTTTCGAAGGGAAACAAATTAGAAAACCATTATCCTCAGATATTAATAATGAAAAGGTATTCCATTTAGTGTGTAGGGCCCGAGGTCAACTTTGTGCATTTTAGTGCCCAGTTAATGAAAAGCTGCAGTGAAGTTGCTTATTTGCTCTTCGAACTGGGCAACTGCAAAGCTGAAGCAACAGAAAGATCTTCCAATGGCGGTAAAATATAAGCAATATTTAAGAGATCAAGAAATAGCAATTGCCACTGACTTTGCGTTTAAAAGTGTATCCGGCGTATTGGGTCACACTAGTTGTTAGACCCTACAAGTTGATACGATATCGCTTAGAAGGGC